ATCTTAATTAAACCCGTCCAAAAAAACAACTTCCCTAAGAGTAAACTTAGTAATTAATTATTATCTATCACACTTAGGATACTGATACCTCCTTATAGTCGTACCAATATATTCGTTCATTATAATTAATTACGTTTGTATGTAAAAAACATATAAATATTATAAAATTACAAAAATAAGTGTTACCAAAAAATATATCTTTTCTTTTTATTTATAAAATTGCACACACACATATTTTATACGCTTTCTTATGGGGGTTACGACTCGAGCAACTCTTTACCTTATGTATATGTTACCGTCAAAGCTGGAAATCCGTCATTGCTAGTAATTCCTCGGATAGGAAACAAAAGATACAGATTTCCGTGGAAATCTCTATGAGTATCTGTCTAACTAATTTCTAGAAAATATAGCCTGAACCTTTGCAAATCGAGTTATAACTCGATAAGGTATTTTACACGTAGGAAAAAGGGAGTACTTTAATTTAATATAAGAGTCATTAGAATCTATTCACTCATAGTATAAACAAATATTTACCAAAACTTTTCAAAGAAATAGCAAAGTTGTACAATTTACAGCATTGCAATCTCTGATAATTCTTGAACTTTTTATGCTTAATTTATAACTTCATATGGTATTCTACGCGTAGACAAAAGAGTGTACTTTAATTTAATATAAAAATCATTAAAATTCATTTGCTAAAAGTATAAAATATATTTACCAAAACTTTTCAAAGAAATAGCAAAGTTGTACAATTTACAGCATTGCAATCTCTGATATTATGTGATCGTATGGCTGCGTGTGTTTGTGTCTGAGAATGTGTTCTTTTTTATGTTGTTTAAATAGTAATTTGATATTCTATGGGATATCAAAGTATTATGTTCGATGCCTAGGATAATCTCTCCAAAAAGTCTTATTTCCGACTTCGTTTGAAGGCTCTTTGCATTCACAGTAATGCCGAGGAATTACTAGCAATGACTGATTTCCGGCTTTGACGGTAACATATATATATACACACACACACACATACACATATATATATTTAAACAAAGTAAAGGCAAACGAGCTTACTAAAAGCTAATTGGATTTTCACAAAGAAAAAAAAAAGATAAAGAGAAAACAAGAGAGAGAGAGAGAGAGAGAGAGAGAGAGAGAGAGAGATAGAGAGAGTGACTTACCAGGTTGAACATCGTTCAATTCGATCCCGACATTGGCCAGGGCCGGAGTTGGTGTTGGCACCCCTTGACTCGGGGAATTACCGTTTCCACCAGTAGTGCTTACCGGCGAAAGTCGATGAGGACTAACACTTGTTTGACTTATGTGAGAACTTGGCACCGATCTGTGTGGACTCAGAAGACCTGGCACGGTTGCTACGTGTAACGGGGAACCACCAGGTGTCGATGCGTGCGAGTGAGATGCATGCGTGTAACATCCGGTACTGGGCGAACGTCTTGCATGATGCCTCGTACTGAAAATTTTTTTCGTCTCCTTTATGTCTCCTCATTTATCATTTTTTTTTCTTTCGGTTAACCTCAGCCAAAGTAGTAAGTGTCATTTATTTTTTATTTGTTCTTTCCCGTACTTTCATTATTTTGTGCAAAATATTTCGGATATATAATTTAGATTATATCGCGAGAAATTGATTATATTTTATTATTATTATTATTCTTAAAAGAAAGAAAGGAAAAAAAACAAAAATGAAAAGAATATTGTTTCAATGGTAAAGCTCAAGACTTTTCAACCGATCTACATATGACTCAATTGAAATGAAAATTTAACAATTAATATTAACGCATATTACATTAAATATGAAATCGCGAATTTAAGCTAATAATAATAATAATAATAATAAGAAGAAGAAGAAGAAAAAAAAACCACACATAAGTTAATACGTAATTTACATACGTACAAGACGATGTTCTTTCTCTCGTGTTAATCGTTCATACGAAACTCGCAGCACGCGGTCAGTTTGAACGCGAGAAGATCGAAAAAGGAAAATAATAGGAAAGAAAAAGAAGAAATGAAAGGAGTCAAAGAAAGAGAAAAAGAAAAAGAAAAAAAAAAAAATAACGAGAACCGCGTGTGATATCGAGCACGCGACACGTTCAAAGGCGTAACAACGAAGTCACGCGATATCGCAGCGGAAAGTTAAGGTCGCGTATATACGCTTGCTGTATAAAACACTTCGAGCGATTTAAATGTCCGTCCAATCGTAGTAAGCTTTTACATATATATTTTTCCTGATAATTACGAACATATTTTTAACCGTTTTTAAAATAAGAGTCTACTAATATTAATAATAATATTGAAAAAGAAAATTTTGAAAGAAAATCTGTCTATTAAAATCGATCAGACTCACTACACATACATACAAATATAAAAGAATTTACAATAATTAAATAAAAACATTGTCTTAAAGGAGTATTAGAATAACAAAATTATATCGCGTTTTTTTTTTTCTGGTAAATTTTTCATTAAAGACAAAAATTGTGACACAGTATACACGTTTTTGTTGTATTGTTCAAAAGTAAAACTATCAAACGCTTTTTAACGCTTAAAACTTTACTGTAATATTATGATCGAACGCGTTGTGTTGAATTAATAGAACAAATAAAAAACAATGTAATTTTATATAATCGGTAAATTGTTTAAAATGTATAAAACAGATTTCTCGTGTTTCAATACAGCTAATATTAGCATTATTTCAATCAAAAATTCCTTGAAAATTATGTCAGCGTAAGAAACAAAGAAAGAAAAAGTTAAACTTAATTAAAATAAATTATAATAAAAGAGACAGAAACAGAGAGACAGAGAGAGAGAGAGAGAGAGAGAGAGAGAGAGAGAGAGAGAGAGAGAGAGAGAGAGAGNAGAGAGAGAGAGAGAGAGAGAGAGAGAGAGAGAGAGAGAGAGAGAGAGAGAGAGAGAGAAAGAGAGAGAGAGATAGAGAGAGAGAGGCAGAAAATTAGAGAGCCAAGCAATTAAATAATGAAATGCGTTTAATCATATCTCGTCAAAATGAAAATGCTTAATTTTCTCGGATGAAAATTTCGTTGGAAATAACGATATATTATATTTCGCGAAAAATAAAAAATCTGAATATTGAATAAAAGATAAATTAAACAATTGTAATTCGAAAGCCTTTAAAATTCAAGGAAAGCATGCGTTTAAAACTAGAGAAAATTCTATAATAAAGATAATATATATATATAGAATATACTTAATATTTCTCGGGTTTCCTTAAAGCCAATGTGTTTCAATTAATTTTGCGATTCGAAAAATGATAAGAACCGGAGATCTGGGTCAGAGTACCGATAAGAAATTCGCCATCGTTAACGTTGTTATATTTTTCTTTGTTACAAAGAACTACCGTTCTGTCAACGTTGACTAAACTACTATTTGCAAAAATAAATATAAAAGAGCAGACAAAGATAGATAGATAGAGAGAGAGAGAGAGAGAGAGAAAAAAAAGGCAAATTAGAAACGACAAAAAAAAAAGGTAAAATTAAAAGAAGAATATATTATAAAAACGATGGAATAATTTTACCTCGATTGTCTTCTAGGTGTCAAAGGTGAACCATGACTAATTTGTCCAAGATTTAGTGCTGTGCTACCGTTAACACGACACGTGTCCACACGTTTCCTTGGTGGATCAGCTTCCAGTTGTCCCCCGGATCCTCTTACACCACTTCTCATTACTTCCAGCTCGTCCTCGCATGCCGGTCTTCTTCGTTTTCTTTCCAACAAGAGAAAGTAGATCACTTTCTCCGTATTATGACTAGAAAAAGAAGAAAGAAGAAAGAAGAAGAAGAAAAAAAAGAAACATGTGGCTAAAAATATTATTGGTTTCCATAACCCCTACCTTCCTCCCACCCCCCTAATTATTTTTTTAAACTTCAAGATAAACAAATAATCTCGAAGAAATATATTTCAATAATGCAATCAAGTTTATATACGCGTTAATAATTACGATAAATAATATTATGATGTATTTATTTTGTTCTATATACAATTAATTATAATATATTGTATAATATATAAAATAAATCATAAAGATTAAATTTTCTTCACGATTATTTGCAATTACGTTACACCTACTGTCATAATTATTAAACGGTAATTTAAAAAAAAAAAGAATGTAAACATTTATTAAGCGCACGTGGACACGCTTTTAAATAAATTTTATATATATTTTATTTAAATGTATATAAATAATTTTCTCTTAAAAAAAAAAAAATGAAGTAGAAAGAAGAATTTAGAATCAAGAATTGAAAACGAAGGATCTCGATAACTCGATAAATATTAGAAACGTTAGATTCGTTATACTAATTAAATAAACGTCTATCCTACTCAATTAAAATGATTAGAAAGTTCTCTTACTTGGGGCTAAGAAGTTCTTGAATTAGTTTATCGCGTTCTTTGAAGCATCCCAAACTGGCAATAGCTTGCAAAACGTCGGGATCGATGGCGTCAACGGACGGAATAACGTGCGTTTGCACCACGTCCATCATCGATAATTCCAATTCTAATTCACCTTTACCTGCTGCCGTTACCCACACGTGCCTATTTATTTCGGCAAGCTGAAACACACAAAAAAGAAAACAATAATTATATTTGTCCGAATTTCATTTCGTTCGAAACGAGATATCAGAGTGTTAACCAAAAGTTCTCGTGCGTTAGTTTTTTTTTTTTAAATTAATAATATTTCCAAAGTTAATTTTTGTACAAAGAGACAATCCATTATGCAATTTATAATACAATAAACGCACGAATTTTTTTCGGCTCATCCTAATGGTATAAATTGAAATTTGACGTTGTTATAATTAATTTGACGCAAATGTCACATTTCAAATCATTCCGAAAAGTTTCACCGTTGTCACAAAACAAAATATAGTAAGTAAAAAATATATATATATTAATTTATTTGATTTGCACATGCTTTAAATCATTCTGATTGATAATGTAGAAACCAGAATTGATAGTAGACACGATCATGCGGTTAGAACAATAAATGTACCGTACATCGAAATTCGATTTACTATTGGATAAGTAGCTTACCGTTAATCTTTTGTCTGGATCAACCTCTATCATTCCTCGAAGTAGATTCTGACATTCGGGTGGTACGAAGTGTGGTATGTAAAACACTCCTCGTTTAACTTTCTCTAATAATTTTCTAAGATTATCATCGTCGAAAGGTAACGCACCAACTAAAAGTGCATAAAGTATAACACCGCAGGACCATACGTCTGCTTTTCTACCGTCGTATTTTTCACCCTGAAAAAAACAAAAAAGAAAAACAAATAAACAAACCACACACACACATTAGAAGAAAAAAAAAATCTTCTTTAGAATTTAAGAACTTTTCTTTTTTTTTAATACACGACAGCAACGAATATATAGAGGATACAATTTTGTTCTCATTAAATGACAATACTTACTCTGATTACTTCGGGACAAGCATAATGAGGCGAACCACAGCTTGTTTCCAACATCGAACCTGCTGGCTGCAACGACGCCATTCCAAAGTCCGCTATTTTAATATTGTTCTTCTCGTCCAATAACAAATTTTCAGGCTTTAAATCTCTATGACTGAAAAAGTCAGAAACAAAAGAAAAAAAAAAAAAAAAAAAAAAGAAGAACAACTTCTGAGTTTGGAGTTCAATTTATAAAACGAAACGTGTGTTCTCGTGTTTCGTTAGTGATAATTATGACATTGGCATAAATATAATCAAAAAAAAAAAAAAAAAGGAGAAAAATTAATTTTTAAAATTTATTTCTAATCACACAAAATGACAACATCACAATCTTAATTTTATTCATTTGTATTTTTCAACTCATGCCAATGTCATAATTTCCATCGGGAATACGCCATAAGGAAACTTTGGTATCTTTTATTCGTTAGCACGAATGAATGGAATATTCGATCGGAGGAAAAGCAATGTTACGAGAGGGGTTGGTGGTTAGGTGTCTTCTTCTTCTTCTTCTTCTACTTCATGTAAAATTAGGTCTAACCCAAGAGAGAAAATATATTCGATTGACGGCACAGTTTTCTTGATACGCTTTGCCAACTAGGCCTTTCCGAACTTCACCCTCACTGTGTGCCCTTTGTTTTGCTTCTTTTTCCCCCCCTTCCCATTTCTCCTCTGTTTCCAAATCCCCCACACCCCCGTTTATTTCACCCCTTAAGAAACGAATCCTTAACCCAATTCGTAGAACTCATAGTAGAGAGAGAGAGACCTAGACCGTTTCGATTACGTAACTGAATATTACGTGTCTACTTTTAATAAACTTCTTAAGAAATTCTAAAGGGGGTAGGTTTTTATAAATTGTATTACGTATTAGTAACATTCACAGGTATTCATAACGTTTGCATTTTATCTTCTGAGTTAAGTGAAAAATTACAAAATTAATAATCAAATTCGCGAATGTTCTCTTATCGAAATTAATAATTAAATATAATATTTAGAAAGAATAATTTTTTTGTTTTAAACTTCAGGATTAATATTGTGTGTTATTAAATTTTGCAGAAGAATATTTCTATTTAACGGGGTTAACGCGTTTTAGAATAAATTTGTATGAATTATTATTAAATGACGGACTAATTGTTTTCTTTTTATAAAAAAGATAAATTTCAATCTCACGTAAAAGTAACATCAGTCGATAAATTTCCCAATATTATAGGAAAATATGAATTTTATGGAAAATATTGTTTCACCCTTCTTCCCGAGTCAGCAAAATCCTTCGCGAATTAAATACATTTTTTCTTCCTGACAGATTTTCTTCTTTATGATAAGAGAAATATGTAACCGAATTATTTGCAGTTGGGATAATAAAAAACATTTATGATTAAACATTAACACTTACCATATGCTATGGCTATGGCAAAAGTCTAATGCGGAAATGATTTGTCGAAAAAACCTTCTGGCCTCTTTCGGCGTTAATCTACCCTTCTTAACCAGATAATCGAAGAGCTCTCCACCTGAGACGTGTTCCAGAACGAGGTATCTGCATAAAAAGTAAGAAACAAAAACAAAAAAAAAAAAAGAAAAAAGAAAAAGAAATTAAACGAACAAGATCAATAAATTATTTCCAATCAAAAAAAAAAAAAACAAAACAAATCTCATTCAAAAAATGTTTCTTTTTGTTGTTGTCGTTCGTTTATAAGAATTACAATATAAAGATGTTCGAATCATAATGAATTTATTAAAGAACACGGATAAATAATAAATTCGTAATTGAAAATGTGATATTGTGTGACTTACAGATATTTCTTATTCTCGTAGACATCAGAAAGGCCGAGAACGTGGGGATGATCTATTAGCTTCATAATGGCGATTTCGCGTTCAACTTTCATCAACACGGACTCCGACAATTTTTCACGGTTGATGATCTTGATCGCCACCTTTTTGCCTAACACGCAGTGAACGCCCAGTTTGACCAGTCCTTTAAAGAAATGATTTAAAAAATATATATATATATATTAATTAAAAACACAATAAATATATTATTTCAATACGAGTATAATATAATATATAATAATCGTAGGATATAATAATAAACGTTTATTTTTCTTTAATCGTTGCATTATTCCCACCCCAATGAAGAATCGACATTTGACATTGTCTCTAAGTACACGAATTATCTGAAATTCTCGTGTTACCTTTAAGTACTTAGATAATAATAAGAAAATACGAATCATTTGATATACCCACACGTACTCAAATTTCTCCTATCCCATTTTACCCTTTGAACCTTTAACTTATCTGCAAGGGGTTCAATTCCATGGGCTGGAATATGAACGCACGTGTACACACAGAAACTTTCTCGAGTAAACATCGTTTATCGAGTGGTTTCATATTTCTACCACTTATATATATATATAATATATAATAAATTGACTAACATAAATTATATGGCTTATAGAACAACAATAAAAAATGACACGAAACAACAAACATACAAAGCTCTCTCTTAATGTATAATATATCCTTTTAAAGAAGTAATTCAAAAAAAATAATATATATAATAATATGTTAAAATATATAAAAGTTTGAAACGTTAAATTGTTGTTGTGAAATCATTTCAAGATTGCTGTAAGAAATTCACCGAATATACCGAAAAATCGTCTAAATATTGATATATATTTGATAGAATTAACGTTATTATTAAATATTCAAAAACGATTATAATTTCCCTCTTTGATCGTACTATTCGTTTAATTGTCATTAAAAAATTAAAATGATAATTCGATTGTAGAATAATGCAAATCTTCTTTCTCATTTTTCTTTCATATTTCCTTTTGTTTCTTTTATTTCTTTCATTTTAATAGATGAATAAGGCTCTTTATTTCTGTGTAAAACACAAAGGTAAGATTACGGAAGGAAGGAAGGAAGGAAGGAAAGTAGAAAAAGGATCGAAGAAAGGAAAGTATCGTTTGTAGTTTCCTGTTATCAAGTATTACACCGTAAAACGTTTGATCAATATAATAATACGGGATTGTGAATAAAAACGGTACTCGCGAATAAGTTCATTAAATCTTCAAAATGGAAATGAGAAAAAAAAGAAAAAAAAAAAGGTATTAATAAATACAACAACAAGAAGAAATCAAACTAAATATGAGCATTATATCGAATTCTTTGAAATACATTTTTACTACAATGGACCACCATTACCCACGTCACCCATTACCTATATATTTCTTATTTTTCTTTTCCCCTATTAATTATTTCAAATAAAAGATTATAAATAATTACTTCGAGAGTTTGTCTAATTATATAAATTCGTAAATAATAACTTTTAAAAACGAGAACTTATTAATATTTCTAATAAAGTACATGTCGAAATGACGAATAATGCAATTGGTAATGTAAGTTATTATACATTTTCTACCATGAATATTTTCCCATTGCATAGTTTTGGTTAATAGGAGGGTGGCTCGATAGAAACGTTTTGCATAGTTGACGATGATATAGCGTTTCCGTTGAATTAATTCGAAGCATCGATCTTTGTTTAAAAGAGAGAGAAAGAGAGAGAGAGAGAGAGAGAGAGAGAGAAATAGAAATAGAATCAGAGATGCATATCTCAAAATGATGACAGTGATTGCATCAAGTCCTTCGACCTTTTTTATTTCCGTTACGAATCTAACAATTCTATTCGAGGTTCACGTACGATCAAAATAACTTGTCATTTGTTATCGGTGATCGAAAATATATGAAAAATTGTCCGATTGATAAAGAATTACTTAACTCGCAAGTTTAACGTTCTAAGAAAATAAAAACGAGAAAAGTAAATATCGTTGGTTATTTCGAGAGACGCGTTCGTCTTGTAATTAAAATTAAAAAGACGAGGTCTGAATCGTTTTTAATGAGAAAAATAATACCCCTCCTTTTTCAAACCATTTATGAACAGAAATAAAAATACGCGTGTGTATATTCGTGTGTGAGTCGTGTATGTGTGTGTGTGTGTGTGTGTGTCAAGTAAGGTAAAACGGTATAGTCTAGACCGTTTTACGAAACGCATAATTAACCTATGAGAGGAGTACTCTTACTTATGAAATTATTTCTCGTCTGCAGAGAGATACGTACGGTGAATACAACCCTTAACACTTTTTTTTACATATGGTTTAAATATATATCCTGTATAATAATTTACTTTTCGTTCAATTATTTTCATTTGAACTTAATTCTTTACGTATATTGATATATATACGTATATGCTCTTTGTTAATTTAATTTGATAAATTTGGAAATTATATCCATGTTAACACCATACTTTATAATGAAATATTTGATTCAACATTATTTCAAAATAATATCATCCGATTGATTTTATTATCAAATAAATGATCCGAAATCTTATTATATATTATTGTAGAAAATTAATTGATTTTTATATTATACGTTATTATAATATTATTTTTATTTTATTTCCTTTAAGGTGTTATCTCTATAGTTGAAATTTAACTTATCAATAAAGTATCAATCGTATTATCACGATATTCGCGTGAAAATGTAGTCGTCACGTATTTCTATGCAATTATGATGGTAACCGTGATTCTATATGGTTATATTCACTATATAATTGACTTAGCAAGACTGTGAGGTAAAGTTATCGTTGACACACTCTACTCCTCTCTCTCTCTCTCTCTCTCTCTCTCTCTCTCTTTCATTATCTTTTGAACACATTCCCGTGTATTCCTAATGCATCTTAGTCTTGCATACGGTGCAACGAGGTAAATTGCCTATTAAAACAGCAATCTCTGATAAAAATGCACAAAATCGGATTCGAATTTAACACACTGAATAATTATTTCTATTAAATTATACGAATATATTTATTTGTCAAGTTGTTAAAAAAAAAAAAAAGAAGTCTAAAAAATATATAAAATGAGTAAGAAAATTATTCATAACAATTGTTATAAATAATAAACAATTGACATTTCCTTGCAATGCAATCTTATTAAATTCTAACGATGCAGAATGTTTTTTTTTTTTTGATTGGAAAAGAGAAATCGCAACGATCCAAAAATTTACCAAGGAAAAAAAAAATCCTTTCGAAACCGTCTACTTTGGTCTACTCCAAAAATAAAAAAAAAAAATAAAAACGGTACTAGTACAGGGTTGAAACAAAAGGGTTCTGCTTTGTTCTCAGAGAATATGCACGTTTCGAAGTGGGAGATGTATTATCGATGGACAACACATCCATCCATAGACTGCATCAACTGTGGCAGATGAAACGTGTTCTAATCGAAGATGGATATTTCAAGGGGAGATATCACACAAGGTTTAGCCTATAGTACAATATCTGACGTGTAATTTCGTGACTGGCATCGACTGGGCCGCACTTTCCACCAAATCGGATAGAATTGCATTACTGCCACGGATGGACATTGAAGTGCACTTTCACTAACGACATGCATCACGCACGATTCATTGATATCGACTCGATAGTAACATTGAATTGTTTCATATTCCCGAAATTCTAATATCTGTTATTTCCTTGTTTTTTTTTTTTTTTCTTATATTTAAACAATTTCATTTAGATACATTTTTATGGGTAAATATATACACGTTTGTATATTGCAAATATTTGAGTATAATTTTATAAGAATATAGTTTCGAGATATGTTAAAATAAAAAAAAAGGAATCCTTAAATGTATTTATGTAAATTTAACCTTGACACGTTTTCCTGTATTTTTGATCACACATTTTACATTAAACTATTATGATTTTTTTATATTTATATATATATGTAGATTATTTAAATTTGTAAAGATACCAATTGTGCTAACAAAAGTATAACAAAATGTTTATTTGGTTACACGCATGCAACGACGAGTTTAACAGAAAATATTACATTAAGGAAGTCCCGTTTATGTCGGCGTAGTTATTCTTGTACATTTGTCAGAATATCTCTCGGAAAGTTTCATACTTGAATCTATGTCAAAGCGTTGGAACTCGACATCCTTTTTTAAGTAATTCCTTCTACCCGATGTTTCTACGTACTTTTTTTATATATACAGAATGACTCAAAAGTCACTAAACCATTTAAAAATAAAATAACATTTTTATGTATGTATGAAAAATTTACATTTATTTAAAAAAAAAAACAATAAATATACTAGTTGGAAATGATCTTTAATTAGCTTTATAGGTTATGTCTATCAAATGACCACCATTTTGTTCTCGAAAATGGTGGGGTCTTGAATGGCCTCTTCTCGCAATGGTCTAGTGACTTTTGGGTTACCCTATATATGAGTAGCTCACTTAATCTTTTACCATTTGACAAAAGAACAGCTTTTCTTTCTCAGCAACTAAATGTATACTCGTACTATACATACCTATGGAATATTTCAGCATAACTATTTTTCATTTTTAAATAAATTGAACTCACGTCCTGATCAAATTTTTTGAATGACGAACAAATAATTGAATGAATTTTCATTGAAGTAATTTCGATAATTTAATTAGAAATGTATTAATTTACCAACGAATTGAAATAACACAAAAGAAAATTAAGGTCAATGTGAAAAATTTCAACATTTAATTCATTAATTGAAAATTAGCGTGCACTTTCAGAAGTGCTTTTTAATTACACGTTCTCTTTTCATCAAAATGTGAAAAGTATAGTAATAGTTAGTTCGAAATCTCACATATACACCCGGTATATCGCGTGTAAGTAAAATACACGTGTGCATACAAGTTCAATGATTATGTTCTTGACTCATCGTCATCGTAGAAAGACGAACGTCTACGTAAGGTTTCGCTGATATTTTTTAATCCGATTGAACCTTTTTTCTTTGACGTAATTGGCTACGTGAATTAGATATAAAGAAAGAAAAATATGAAGAATTTAAACGTTAATATTTCCAATAGAATGGTCGAATGTGAGATACTTGGAATAATAGTACATTTTAATTAAAATCTCGTAATAATCCGATGCA